AAACATCCAGAGAAATGCTGTCTGGTCATGGAGATTTTTTATAGAATCTACAGCCTCCTAGAAGCTCTGAATTGTTTAGCTGTGTCGTCAATTAAAGAAAAAAAATAACAAGATAATAGAATAATGAGTTAAGATTTTTAATCCTTAGCCTATTAGCAAATATTCCTACACAGTGTAGTTTGCACAGGTTTCCATTGCACTGGTTCCTGTATCAGTGCCAGTAATCCAGTAATAACTTATTAGCTCCCCATTGTTTAATTTACTTTAACTGTAGAGAATAATTAATTAAAGTTGTGAAATTCTTAGTTTACAGTATATTTAAGATGCAAGTATTTTAGTAGGAGCCATTCTTCTTTATTTCTATTCTCTGAAATTCACCAGAATGTAGAAAATAATATATATTGTGTGAAAATGTTCCAAATAACTACAGATCAGTTATTGTCATTCAGTAACATTTACTGTGCTGTAAAAATTCCCCATTTTGCTGCTTAGTTTCAGTGAAATCCTCTGAAAACCTCCAACCTAGAGCTGCACCTGAGAGCGTTTCAAACTAACCCTGACAGGGGTTGCCGTTCCACACTAGTTCAAAGTCTCACTCCCAGGTTTGGTGAAACGTTTGCAGTCCTGCTTTTATCTTTGGCGTCTCTCTGACCCTGGAACTACGAACCTCCACACTAAACCAAACATTAGTTTGATGCAACACTTTGCTGATGGAGAGTTTTTTCTTATAAACTTTGAGAGAACTACACCAAAGTTCTGAATTAAACTGAACAAAATGTTTGGAAGAAAGAAAACTTGACATTATGTTTAGTTTCTATGGATTAACTTTGATCCAATGCAAAAAGCTTAAAAGCTGCACACCGTCTCCTCGGCTGATCCTGATGCTGCCATCATCTCCTCCCTCTCCTTCTCCATGAAGGGGATCAGGTAACCGACGGCCTTCTTCATAACACGAGCCGACTTGATAACCTGGAAAAACAGGCAACGCCATTGGCCCAAAAAATTTGATTATCCAACAGACTGGAGAAATTCAACTTAACATTTTATGGCAATCAGGGGGGGTAACAGGGAATCATGGGGCATAACAGGGAATCATGGGGAATAACGACGAATCGCGGGGAATAACAAGGAATAACAGGGAATCATGGGGAATGACGGGGAATAATATGGAATCACAGGGAATAAGGGGAATAACAGGGAACCACGGGGAATAACAGGGAACCATGGGGAATAACAGGGAACCATGGGGAATAACAAGGAACAACGAGGAATAACAGGGAATCACGGGGAATGACGGGGAATAACAGGGAATGACGGGGAATAACAGGGAATCAAGGGGAATAACAGGGAATCAAGGGGAATAACAGGGAATCAAGGGGAATAACAGGGAATGACGGGGATTCACAGGGAATGACGGGGAATAACAGGGAATCACGGGGAATAATAGGGAATCACGGGGAATGACAGGGAATCGCGGGGAATAAAGAGGAATCGTGGGGAAAAACGGAATCACGGGGAATAACAGGGAACCACGGGGAATAACAGGGAACCACGGGGAATAACAGGGAACCACGGGGAATAACAGGGAATCAAGGGGAATAACAGGGAAC